TCAATTTCCTGTTCACATCAAGGCTGCTGAGGAAATCTTCCCCACATTTGATTTGACTTAAATTCGAGTGTCTGCTTTGACTTGGACACGGCACTAGACACAGAGAATATTTTCTGACTGGGCAGGATGTTTTGAATTTAGGGGCTAAACAATGTCATTTTTGCCATTAGACTTGAGCCAAAATTCAAGGATGCTGAAGGCAGCCAGACCTCTCTCCCTGTCACCTGAGGGCTGGGACACCACAGCAGCTCCTCACAGGAGTTCCACAACACCTCCTTTGAGTTTCAGTTTTAACTCAGCAGCACACACTGGTGAGATCTACTCATCCTCTGCATTCGATGTGGCTGAGGAGGAAAATGAGATTCATAAGCTGCAGCCTTCATTCAGTTCCAAAGTATTATCTAGTAGCTAAAAAAAGACATCATTTGCTCATACTACTGTTCCTTTTGCCAGTTCCTTATAAAGCCGGCCTGTCTTGCATCTTTGATGTCAGGAACTCTATATTTTAATTCCTGAAACGACCATATATTGCTTATTTCTGTGCTTCTTTCACACAAAGGTGAAAATTCCTAAATTTTATAAACTCCTATTCCAGTAACACAAAGAAAAATGCAGAGGACACTTGAGCTCTCTCTGTGCTGGCCTCTGCCAAGGATGCAGCCTTGTATCAGACAGGATAGAAGAGCCCAGACAGATGCAGTCTGAGGGAGAGGTACAACCAAAGAGCATTCAAAGGGAAAATAGGAGAGGCCGCCTCTCCCGAGAGCCAGGAGACATTTTTACACAGCATTCTTCACTTGGAACATCACAGGATAAAAAAAATAAAGGAGTCCAGTGTTTGCACTTCGATAGATATCCAGTTTCAGGCTGTGACAGAAGAGGCAGCACAACCCAAATTAAAAGCACTGCTAACAGCCCCCGTTGCTCTTTTATTGTGATTGTTACGAGTCACATTAGTATAAATTTGTGAAGTGTTTTAACACTTTTTCATTTCAGCTTAATTAATTTTCATAGGAGTTTCAGCTTAATTAATTTTCATAGAAGTTTGAGCTTACTTCATTTTCATACAAGTTTGACGATTTTCTCATTTGTTGTTGAAATCACAACACGACTTTTCCATATGCAAGGCAAAATAGTAATATCAGCTCAAAAAGTCATTTTTGGACTTGTTTTTGTATTTCACAACCAAAAATACTTCCAGTGTAAACTGTTAACCGAAGCTCTGACAAGTTTTATTATAAATATTCCCAGCTTTAAAGAGAAATTTGAATATATTCACTTAGTGTACGTTCAAGACAGTTTAGGTCTGACAGCTTCAGATTATGCCTCATTTATATGGAGCAGTGATCAAACTCGTTAATATGTGAGAGAACTGAAGAGGCAGAGGATTGTGAATCAAACAGCATGAGCAAAGTTGTCGAGGAACATGAATAGCTTATGAGGATTTACTTAAGGTGATAGTTTTCATGGTCCCCCGTGCCAAGGTTTGTGGAGGAGATGAATAAGCGGGGAGGAGGTGGGAGCAGCAGTCCTTGGGCGAGGCGCGCTGCCTTAAGCCAAGGAGGAAGCTCTTAATCTGCCCATAATTCACCCCATGTGTTCCCAGCGATAGGACCCTCTCCTCTCAGCCAAGGTGAGCCATTTGACAAGACAGGTAAAGCCTGCTCACAACTTTCCTCCCGTTGGCTTTCGTGCTGCCGAGTGTTGTCTGCGCCGCGACGCTCGATAATTTAAGAAGCGCTCGTGCGGGGGAAATCAAATCTCACTGTGAAGCAGCGTCTCCTTAAGATTCATTTAATCTTCTGATAACACAAGCTGTGCACACACAATCACTGAAGATGATAATCTCCTGTATGTAACACTAAGTCTACTATTATTCCATTTATTAAAAAGTGCTATAATAATGTTTTGTGCATACATGTACTAAAAAGACAAGTGGATTAGGAGATGGAAATTCAGGGTGCTTCTTCCTCGCAGCGTATGGCTGCCTAATGCCTCCACGTTTTTATGTACAGACATGGCTTAGCATGTTTTGCTGAGAGTTCTGCCAACAGCAGCTCCTCTAGCGAGAGCCAGAGGCCCCCACACCTCTGATTTTTGGGGGAAGGATAAGCTCAGATCACAGACATGCTCACTTCTTATCAGTTGTTCTTTTTCCTAAGTAAATAAATCACCAGCAGATGCAACTGTTAGGGAAAAAGGGAGTGCTGATTGATTTGGCATAGATCCCTGCATTTCTGACATAGAAATCACTGGTTACTGCTGTCCAAACATGCTCATCAAAGTGACCAAATTTAATCTTTAAGAGGCATGGAGTGGTTTTGAACCAAAAGACAGAGGATTAAGAAATCTCTTACCAATATTCCCCAGTTCTTAAGAACTGTTTGAGTCACGAGGAAGCAGCAACTTAGAAGTTTTGTGCACAGCCCTACAGAGGGACCGTGTGAATAAGAGAAAATGGTCATTACTGGGACTGTTGTATTTCTGTTTGCAATCATGCAGTGTCGGAGGAGCTGAGCCTCTCCCGGAGCCAGCCCAGGCTCCCCAAAGGCACTGCAGCACCCAGGGAACGCTTCCCATGGCACAGGGCATGGAATGCTCGGGACTCAGCCGCACATGCGCCCCTGGCTCTGCCTGGGATTTCCTGTTCAGACCAGGGCACCAGACAGAAATCCTGGGCTGGGAGCCAAACTCCTCCAGTTCTGGCTGGACAACATTTCCAGGCCAAAAGGAGGAAGAGAGAAATAGAAAGAGATAGACAGAGAGACAGACAGCAAGAAAGGAAGAGAAAGAGAGACAGAGAGACAGGAGGGAGAGAAAGAGAGAAAGAGAGAGAAAAGAGAGAGAAAGAGAATGAGAGAGAAAGGAGAGAGAGAAATAGCAAAAGAAAGAAAGAGAGGAAAGAAAGAGAGAGAGAGAGAGAGAGAGAGAGAGAGAAAGAAAGAGAGAAAGAAAGAGAGAAAGAGAAAGAGAGAAAGAGAGAGAGAGAGAGAGAGAGAGAGAGAAAGAGAGAGAGAGAAAGAGAGAGAGAAAGAAAGAAAGAAAGAAAGAAAGAAAGAAAGAAAGAAAGAAAGAAAGAAAGAAAGAAAGAAAGAAAGAAAGAAAGAAAGAAAGAAAGAAAGAAAGAAAATAAAAAATTAAAAATAAAATATTTTTTTTTCTACGTGGGAGAACACCAGGCTTATTTTAGCACTGAAAACATCTGTTTATTTCTCCATGTCATCTCTGTGAACTTTGAGGAACCAGAGTTGTAGTTAAAGACAACACATGCCCAAGTGCAAGTGACTTCTGTTCCATCCCTGTGCAGATCTCCTGATCCTCCCTCTGCTTTCTCTCCCACTATTCCACAGCTGGAAGTGAACCCTGGCTGCATTAGCACAACATCCTTGGGGCAAGAGCCAGGAAATAAAGCTTATTAACATCCCTCAGCACTGACTTCAAGCCACTGTGGGCTATCACTTGCCCATGGGCTGATCCCACTCCTTCAGCTGCTTATGCAGAAATCTGCACCTGACCATTCTTTTGTACCAGAGAATTAATGGCAATCACACCTTGAATTTTTCAATCAAGTGATACGTAGAAACTACTGACAAAAGGCCACTTCTAAATTACTCTGATGGCAACTTTCTCATTACACGAGCTCTGTAAAGCTGGTCCCAGCAAGTTCTTTTAAATTATAACCCACACCACACTTACTGGAGACAGGTTTTCTGCTGAATTTTCCTGCTTAAGCTTTATTGTACAAACTGCTAGAAACTGGTTGCAGGTAACTTATTAAACAGCACAGTTGATATATGTAAAATGGCTTTCCCAACCATCTTAACCTTTTCTGACCTTTCCTGTCCTTGTTGATGGCCACGCTGAGTTGCAGCCCTGGTCTCTGGGTGTTCTCAGTGCTTTATCTCTCTTAGCACTGGTGCAGGGCCACACAAATTGCTGTAATGTGCCATTTCCTGACATTAAGCCAAAAGGGGAAAAGTAAAGGGCAGGATTTCTGATGCATTTCTTCACTGTTTTGAATACAAGCCATTAGCAGAACAACCAGAAAAAATTAGGGTAATATTAAACTGACCATTAAATTTATTAAAATATTAAAAATATCAAATTTAACATGGTATTTCATTCCAGCAGCCTCGCTGCTTTATAAAAAATATGGTTCACTAGTGGTCTACAGTCAAGGTATGCAATAACCATGCTCAGGTCCAAATCTTGTAGCATCTAGAGAAGTCTCAGGATGCTAAGATTGAGTAAGCATCAATCTCTTATTCTTCCAAGGAAAAAAAGGAATTTTGAAACCATTCCATTGTTTTCTAGACTAAGAGTTCTTTCGAAAATTAGTAGTAAAAATTTAATCCTATGATCTATGCAATTCGGTTTTGAACAATTAATGTCTCTTATGAAATTGCTGCTGTTTTCAGCTTGAAGCCCATGTATTTTAACTGTGTGTCAGTAACATGATTTATCATAGAGGGATTTGTGAAAAGCCAAATGCTCATTCTGCCAATAGCAGCAGCATTTTGAACTCCAGCAATGGTCTCACACCCACAAGCTGTGGAGGACAGACCTGGCTGTGATCCCTCCTTTCACTCATACCCCTTTAACCTCCTGTTTTCTTCCTCTTTCTCCTTTTAAATGGAGCTTAAAGTGACTCTTGATCCAAATATTACATGTAAACCTTAGTAGAGAACATTTAGAAGTGGTAATTACTAACCATTTCCCTCAATAATTAGCTTAGAGAAAGGTGTATTTTTAATGTGGATTGCCAAATTCTCCACTAATCATCTCACACCACTTCCCCACAGTAACAATTATTGAAAAACAGTTTAAAAACACATAAACAAGAGCGTTTAGCACTCATTTACTTTAGACCAAACGTCAATAAAACCTCAAGACACTGTGGACTGGCTGAGTTCAGAAATCCAAAGCAAAGAAACCGCTGTGGGTGGACTGGAGCTGCCTGTTTAACTTCAAATCATTGTTGCTTAGCTCACTCTTCCCAGATTTCCAGGATTTCCACCTCCAGCAGCACCAGGCAAGGAAGCTCAGCCTGCCAGAGCACACTGGGACAGGAGAACAGCCAAGAACTTCTGTGTTTATCCAGCTCAGTTGTTCGCACTGAGCTCCTGCAGCCCATTCCCATCTCCTGCACACCTGGAAAAATAAGGTGAGATTCCTCCAGCTCTGGCTGGGTCCTGGGAAGAGCAGCAGTGCTGCCTCTGCTGGGGCTGAGGAGGGGAAGGTGGAGGGAGCTGAAAGGCGGCTCTATATCCAGTACACACACAGCAATTTGTTACTGTGAAAAACCATCTGTTTCTCGGTATTACAATCCTCAGAGGGGAAATTATAGCTAGCGTTCAACATAAAACATCAATTTAAACCATCAACTATTCATAATTTCAATTCTTTATTGGAAACCAAGGACATAAATGTCAGGGAATAAAGCAATATTTCTTTTATTAACTGTTCCATTCATCTGGCTATTAAATAAAACCAGGACCTTAATAAATAGCATTAGCCTTTGTAATGACAGCCACCCCAACTAGCACCATAATTCTAAATAAAATGCATTATATTTCTAGTTTTAAAGTAAAAATCAGGATTAAAAAGCATTTCAGAACATATGCATTAAGAGTAGTTTTGCAGTGTTGTTGCTCCTGTGTAGTTAAATGCTTTAACAAACAATACTGACCAAATAACCCCCCACTACATTTATCTGCAAATTCCTGGCCAAACACCTCCCTCCTGATGATATTCTACAACATTAATATTACTAAAGAACAGAAAGGATTCCAGCACTGATGCTGCCTGCCTGTTGCCAAATGGAATTATTCATTTAATCCCCTGCTCCCAGATATGACGCCTGCTACGAAAAATAATAACAATAGTAGTAACATTAAAAGGAGTGGGTGGATGGAGAGTGGGAGAAAGGAAGAATGGCACAGGCAGGGAATGTGTTCTTCATACAGCCTGTCATCACCCATTACTAATGGCACAAAAGTCTGTATTTATGCTGACAGTTATAGAGTATTTCTGCAGTTTGGTATTTAAGAGTTACACACAAAAATCCTGGAGTCCAACAGCCTGGGACAGGGAATGAAGAGTCTGTTTGTAATTCTGTTCTGTGGGAAATGGAGAGAGGGCTGCATTTGCTGCAAGCTTGATGGAGAGTTGCAAAATTTAACTTTGTGTGATTAGATAAGACTATTGGGGAGTTTCCCTGCACCTTCGAGGAAAAGGAGAATTCTCTGAGAGCTGAGGAGTCCTGACAAGTCCACAGACTCACTATTAATGCTCAGATAATTGTCCATTATTCCTCCTTAAGAATAGCTCCCCTGCTCTTAGCACGACCAGCATGGGGTACTCAAGAACACCATTACAGGGGAAAGGAAGCACAACTGTAATCAAAACAATGATTACTATCACCTTCATTTAAATGCAGAGTGAGAAATGAATACAAAAATATTCACTTGAAAGTGAAAGGTAAGAAATTAACTTTTTCCCCATGGACATCAGAAACCTAACCTCAAAACCAAGAATTACTTGTAAATTTTTTACATCCCTTTAGAGCACACATTAGTTTCTCCTTCTGCATTTAAATGAAGGCGATGGTAATCATTGTTTTGATTACAACTGTGTTTCCTTCCACCCAAAATGGGGTTCTTAAGGACCACATGCTGGCAATTCTAAGAGCAGGAGAGCTGTTCTTAAGAAGTAGTAATGGACAATTATTGCAAGTGTTAGCAGTGAATCCATGGACTCTATTGGTCCTCTCATCTACTTAATGCAACATTTCCGTACAATTCCTCCCAACTCCACACACAATAAAACCCATCGTGCCAACATTAAGGAAAAAAAACCCAGCATGATTAAAATACAGTTGTTGTTGTGGTTAAGATAAAAACATTTTTCTGCTTCTTGTAAGGTTTATTTATGAAGATGGAACCAGGAGTGTAAAGTCAGGTTTGAAGCATAACAATGAAGTTTATACAGAGTTTTCATGTCTCCTGATAAATGCCCAAACTCACCTCACATCCCAGCTTCAGCACATCTTCTATTGTCTTCAGTCATTTCCACCAGCCTTAAATCATTTAACCTCATCCTTATTCTGTGTCCTGGCAAATGGCCACCACCTCCTCCTCCTGCTCTCTTTTCACCACCCTCTTCCACTCCTAGCCCTGAAGTCTGTCCCAGTTCAGTGCCTGGGCACACTAAAACTTCCTTCCACGTGGAAAGCTGCCTGCCAAATACCTGCCTCGTGTTTCTGGTGGCTCCCCAGGTGAGGAGGGATTTTCAGCAATATCCTGGCTTGGGGATGATGCTCAGACTCTTACAGAATTTTTTTCTTTTTTTCTACCAACCCCAAATCCCACCTGCTTCCCAACTCAACTGGGCAGCACCAGAAGATATTCCTATTCTGCATCCCCAAACCGGCACAAATTGGGCTGCTGAGGGCAAGTAATGCTCAGGCTCATCAGTCAGAGTTAGGCACCAGCCACAGGGTTAAAACAGAGTATTATAATCCAAGGAATCGCTGTGGTCCTGTCCCAGGCAGAATTGACAGCTACCAGAGCTGGGCTTTTCCTCCAAGCTTTGTGATACCTGATTATCAAATTTCTTATGCAGGTGCCTCCTAACAACACCTTTACTGTAAGCACAGGGCAGCAAATGATACTTCAGGAATTGTCAGCATGTCTAGTTATCCGAGTTTAATAAGGTACTTCATCTCCTTACAGCACCTACAGCTAGCATTCCCCAGAAAGTTATCAATTCTGCCCTCCCACCCCTCATCTTCATCAATTATGATCAACGAGCTCCTGAATAAATGCATACACATCCACAGTGCTACTGGGGCTGCAACACACACAGTCAGGATGGATTTCCATCAGTGAATTCGCTAAGTCCAATCACAGTGTCAGTAGCACCAACACAGACTTGACTCTGCACATTTTTAAGGAGTAAAAATCAGGGCAATCAAGTTCTGTCACACCTTGTTACTGCTGCTTTCAGGTTTGCTGGCATGAATTGAGCACGGAGCTGGGCAGAGCCCTGGGATCCTGCTCACAGAGGGGATGCCTTGTGCAAAATGCACAGTGAGATGGATGCAGGGGGGAAAAGGGGTCAAAAAAGGGGAAGGATTGTTTCAAACATCAAGGATTTTAAAAATTTACTCCAAAATTTAGATGTCTGTAGGAATTAAAAGCCTCTAGTCATAGCCAAAAGCAAGGAACAAACATGGGAGATTTTACAAAGGGAATTTATTCTGAACTCCAAATGAAGAAGATTAGGGAGAGGGGTTTTGTGAGACACACACTCCAAACAACAGAGTAACAAATTCACAAAACTGGTAGATTGAGTGAGAGAGGACACAAACCCAAGGGGGAGAGAAGTTAGGCAAGAGCTTGGCAGAAACTTAAATAGCAGCAATTAAAAACACAGGTCCAAACCCCAAAGAGAGGGGGTGTGAAAAGAGCCCAATGGCTACAGCAAAGCTCTTCCCCGACCTCAAATGAAAGGGATAAAACACTTGGGTGAGACTGCCAAAGGCAAGTATAAACATACAGCACAAACATTTGGAAATGAAATCAGAAGTGTTCCAACAAAGAATGGGAGAAAACCGGCAAGAAATCCAATAAGCAGCAAGAAACAAGTTTTATAAATAAAGGAACAGTGGAATGACAAGCAAAGGGACTCCTGGCAGATCATACAGTGGAAAAGGGACATCAAGAGCACAAGGGATGTCTTTTTACATCAGCTTTTACTACAAGACCTGTCAGTAAATGGGTAACATGAGGAAAGGAGAGGGGAGGGTTTCAAACTTCATTTGGAACTGATGACAAAGATGTCAATTAAAGGGTTTTGGTATTTTTGGACTGGCTTGGCTTTCATAAACTTTGTCACTGTGTGTGCTGAAAAACTGGCAAATCATTCAAGACATTTGTTGTCACCTTTAAAAGGACCTAAAAAGGCCAAATATACAGCACATTTTTAAAGTGGCAGAAAAAGGAGCAGAGGATGGGGAGGGCTGGATGCTTCCTCAGAAATCAAGGAAAACTAATATGAATCACCACCTGCCTGAAAGCACCTAGAGGAAACCCCAAAGGTACCTCTAAATTCAACTTGTTAGAGCAACTGATTTCCTTCTTGGAGATGCTAAGGAGCTTGAAAGACTGAGGAAAAACCAGGAAATGCCACAATTTGAATTGAGGGAGGCTTCAGTGAAGCCTTGCTCAACACATCCTGCAGGAAAGTAAAGGAAACCTGCTCTGGAGCACAGAGCAGCAGCCAGGAGAAGTTACCAGCAGGTGTTTATCAAACCCTCTGATGTGGAGAGAATGGTTCTTGGAGTGTCTGGCCTGGATCTGCCCCACTCCACTGTCCCAAATAACCTTGTGACAGATAATTTAATAATAATAATAATAATAATTTAATATTTAATCTGCAGAGAACAGCAGCCTGACATGTACAGCAACAGATGAGGGGATTACAATTCCAAGGGAACTTCACAAACTGAAAAAACCAACATGAACCCAAACTAGCACAAAAAAACCCTAAACCCTAAGATTCAATAGAAATGTTTAATCTAAAAGGTAAAAGACTGCACTTGAGCAGGAACAACAGTGTACACAGCAGTTAAAAAAAATAAAAAAAAATAGGGATAATGCTGGATCACAAGTTGAACATGACTCAACAGTGTCCTTCTGTTTCAAATGAGGGAGATATCATTCTGAGAAGAGCAAACCCACACAGAAAGACAATAAGATGTGAAATAATTCTTCTGCTCTACTGAGTGTCGGACAAAATCTTCCAGCTGAGGCCTTGCTGGCTTTGGATATTGCATTTCAAAACTGATATAGCTCAATTTGAGAACTTCCAGAGCAGTGGAAATGATCAGAGAGAGGCCCAGGAAGCTTCTACTGCAGGCAAGGCAAGGCAGGAGGGCATCTCAGCCTGTTCAGGAACCAGGAAAGTGAAACCAGCTTCCCTGGCATGAGCACAAAGCAGGCAAGGAAGGAACAGGGGCACTTCTGTGATGCAGGAGAAAATGGATAACAAAGCACAGGATGCTTCAAAATAATCCCTGGTTAAAAATCATCAAAAAAATGCTGGTTTGGGAAAGAGAAAATGGGATTTTAAATATAAGACATTGCTCCAAAGAGGCAGGTG